TGCAGCGGTTTGAAATTAAGCGCCTCTCTGAACACACATTATTAACCAATCTGTGATGCACAACCTCACATCCCTCTGGAGATCCTGTACAGTAGAAACCGTAGCGTTCAATACGGACCGACTGGTGGGCAAAGTTTCCCAGCTGACACAAACCTTGAATGACAGATTGTTTCTCAGACACAAACAACAGGAGCAAAAACAAATTGCTTGTGTGTTTGTGTGTCAGTTCACTCATCGCTGCACTTAAAAAAGTTCACGCTGCACCGCGGCGGTCTGCCGTGGATTCAGGTCTGTTACTGCCAACGTCTCTACAGCCGCATATCGACTGTTGTGTTGCACAAATCTGACAAGACCTGCGAGGGCTCCGGCTGAAACAGAGTCAGACTCTAAATAAGGGATGGTGAAGTCAGATTACAGTTTCTGGGGAAAAAATAAAAGAGAAGCAGCAGCTACAATTAATAGTTTTTGAGATTCTTTGGGCTCAGATTTTCTTTTGTCGGCCGCTTCACTGTTTTCACTGCTCGGTGTTTCCTATCAAATCAACATCCTACTTCTAATGCATGCAGGTGTACAGTCGTGAACAAAACTTTAAACACAACGTAATGGCAGTCTTTAGTTTCCAGTGAGGATTTCCTTATTGATCAATAAAGAAACTAAAACAGGAAAATGCATTTCTTTCTCGCAGACTTATGGAGGATGGCTCAGTGTTCTAATAATAACTTATGGGGACCTTACAAACTGATCTGTTTGTTACGCCCTTAACTGTAGAACCTCTTTCAGAACCGTTCTTAAGGGCGAAAACGCAGAAAAACCGCTGTATTGGTCTCAATGCTAATTGAATACAGCTAATTTAGTAAATTATGGTTCCATTTGGAGGAAAATAGACACAAAGCCGGATGTGTTTAAGGGTGTGGTTTGGGTGGGAGAGCAGATCCACTAACTGGAAGGTTGCAGGTTCAATCCCCACCCGTCCACCTACAGAAGTGTGTAGAACGGTCTGACTGCACCTCGTTATCATTCTGCTACAGGAGATTAAAGCTCTGACGTACTTATTGACAGCAATCACAGTTGTTCTGAGCAGAGCTAAGTTCAGGGTAAAGAGACGAGGTTCATGCAAAACAGTCTGAAAATCAACGTCCTACTTTAAATGCATGCAGGTGTGAACAAAAGTTTCCAATGACTCCTATTAACTTTTTATGATGGAATAACTGAAATGCATTCATCTCTGTGACAATAAACAATCATGCATTAGACACAGGTCTTCTGGTAATATAACAAAATCTGCATAATTTACACAACATGCAAAACATACATACAGCTTTTGTTCACATCTGCACCTCCGAGGTCCTCATCTGTCTGCAGTTTGACAGTAAGTGCCAGCACATTCTCAGTGTTTGCAGAAATAAGACAATCTCATGTTATTTTCTGGAGCCAGCCTCCAAAACCCGAAGCTGGTGAAATTCTCGTCCAGATCTCGCCTCGCTGGCGTTTGCGCGAGTCTGTTTGTGGCGACTTACAAAAGAGAAGTCTGGTGCGTTCTGGCACAGCAGCCTGGGGAAGACGGCCTGTCTCTGGACGCGCTCCTCGTCCTCGAACACGTTGCCATACATGAAGCCGTTCAGCATGGTGGAGTGGGCATGGACGTCGATGTAGAACTCCAGACTCACCCTCTGATGGGGGGAGGAGGAGAGAGAGCAGAGGGACAGACAAAACAGACAGAAGATAAGAAGCAGCAGGTTAGGTGGGAAATTTGTCTGTCAGCGAGCAACAGTCCACAGCCGAGCCCCTCCGCTGGGAGTAAGGAAAGGCCTCCGCTGGCTCTGAGGAGACGGTGCCGGGAGGAGGCTTTCACCCATGGGACGACCACGAACCCTCCAGACACCTCGTCATACCTGAAAGGAGCCAACCACCCACACATAACTTCAATCAAGCTGTCCTTCTGAAGGGCAGCCCTTCAGTACATACATGGGCCGCTGAGCTGAGAGGAATATTGTATAAACACACACACACACACACACACACACACACTCTCGTAGATTCATCACGGACACCAAACTTATTTATCAGGTTAATATTGACTTCATATTGAGCGTGTAATGTCTTTTCTATCTAGTATACACTGTGTAAAATGGATTTGATAAGATCTGTTTTTCTAGCTGTTATCATTCAGCGCACACACACACACACACACACACACACACACACACACACACACCTACACACACACACACACACGCACACAGACTTTTATTTTGTGATACAAACAAATAACATATTCTCTAACCTCCAGCTCTCACCCTTTAAAATTCAAGATGCACAATCATCATAACACGTTGCACCGTCCAGATGGCTCCTCCACCGAAGCACCGCTTTCAAACGTTCAACGCTCGCAAAGTTCAGCGCCGGACAAATGTCGACACTACAAATGTGCTGCAGGAGGGAGGGAGAACTTTCCGATCGAAACTAACGGAGCAAAGGCGAATTCTCTTAAACTCGTAAGGACTCGTGTAAACTCGAGACGCTCTGAGGTCACCAACCAGCGTTTTCCAGGTTTATAACAGTAATTCAATCTGGTTTTGAATATTTATTGTGCTCAAACTGCAAAAAGCGACAAAATAAATTTCCTCAAACGTGTCCGTATGAAAGAAGCCACTTGATTTTTGATCGATGGACATTATTGTCTCGGTACAAAGGAAACTGAGAAACGACTCACAAAAGAAAATAGTAAAACAAATTGAAGACTGTGGCGACAAACAAACAGGTTTATAATCATCCTACTAGGATTCTAGCTTCTCTTTTTTGTGATTTTCCACCTTTAAACCATTATTCTCTGCTGTTGTAATGCAGTTTGTCTGTCTTGTGTCATTTCAAGTTGGTAAAAAATAAAATCCAAAGCATATTCATTAAAACAGTGTCACTCAGCTGTGCACAGCTTTGGACTCAGTTCAGGAGATTTAATTTATTCCTACCCAGTGGCAGCCTCCAGGGCTGAAAAATGAACCCAACACAGAAGCTCCAAAAACTGCAGATCCTCAGATGGCCACTGGAGGCTCCAAAAGCAACTCAATCCCCATAGACGCCCCATGTTAAAATGTCCAGCTTAAAAACAGAAATAAACTTGTTGACACCCTCATACAGGAAAAGTTTTGGTCTCTGTAGCTAAGTTCCCAGTTTATGACAAATGTGTGGGGGTTATTTTATGTATCTATCACTCACTTGAACTGGATTGAGGTTTAAAGTTATGTATTGTTAAAGGAATAGCTGCAGTTCATGACTCACAGATGTTTGCAGCTCCACTTATAGTTCACTTCTTTGCACATGTTTTGTTTAGCCAGGACTTTATAGGAGTCAGAAACTGTCAAGATAGCTGAGCCACCACACTAAGCTTCAAACCTGCTCTTAAGGAACCCTGTAAGCTACAAGCTAAGACTGTTAGCGTCAAGGAGGCATTATTTTGGCTTATGAACCGATTGTTCAAGGACAATCGTTTAAAGTTATTTTTTGGCCTTTATTTGACAGGACAGTAGAGAGTGAGACAGGAAAGTGGGGCAAAGAATGGACCTGCAGCAAATGGCCATGGATTGGATTCAAACCCATGACTGCTGCATCGGGGCCTATAGCCCCAGTACATGGGTCATCAGCTCAACCAGTTGAGCTACAGCGGCGGCCCCGAGGTCAATCATATAGTGAAGTTAACAGCACTGGCACAAATCTGTATTCTACACCATTTGTCACGCTGAAATGTTCAAACAGGATAAAGGATCACTGCATAAGGTTGTTTAAATTAGAGTTGGTTCACTGGTCTGAGGTCAGTAAGTCCTATACTAGTCTTCATCATGGTGCTCCTTTACTAGCTAAACTCCAACAGTTCCCTTTGTGAGCCAACATTAAAGTTCCTGCCTCCTCTAGTTACTAAACAGAAAGACGCAACCAGGTACTACAGCTCATCTGCAATACTTAAAGCGTGTATTATCTTGCAAAATGGTATTCGATGCCATCAGATAAAAGATTAAATAAAAAATAAAAAACCTAGAAACTAATTTTATGGGTAATCCCTGATGGAAACACGAGTTGGAATGAATAAATAATCCACTTAAACACTTGTGCTACCAATCATCGTAAAAATAAACCAAAAAAATGTTTTTCACAAAGTTAATTATCAAAAATGTTGCTGCTGAACGGTTTCTCAAAAGCTGAACACGAACAGAAAACTACTTAAGAAACTCTAATTGGAGTTCAGTAACGTAAGAAATTATGCTCATAATTATGTCAATTAACACAAAAAAACTCCTTTTAAATGATGTGGAACAACCTGGAAATCAATGTAAAAACTTCCAAAGTGTTTCAGCAACTGTTATTTAAACGTTAATTAAAGATGAAACAATTGGTCGTCAATTTCTTGTTGAGACTATTTTTTCTTTTAGAATGTAAACCTAAACGAGAACAGGTGTGAAGACTGTTAACAAAAAACACATCCTCACCTCAGCAGTCCTAAACTGGCTCTGACAAGGGCAGGAATACAAACCCCCACACAGCCACCCAGATCCAGCCCCGCTAACAAACACACCTCCTGACCCTGAACTCTGGAGCTACACCCACCTCCATCCCACCTCTCCTCTATCTTATCGCTTTGTCCGCCTTCTCCCGGTTTTTATCCTTCCACTCCTCCTCTCCTCCCTCTCCTCTCTTTATCTCCCTTCCCTCCCTCTCTCTGCTCATTAGAGATGCAGCACCACACCTTGTTCCCTGTGGGTCATAAAGAGGAGGATGGAGGAGGAGGAGGAGGAGGGAGAGATAGTGGGAGAAGAAGAAGGAAAGAAGGAAGGAAGGAAGGGAACAAAAAAAAAGACAAAGAGGGAAAAGGATGCATGTGGTTTTGGTGTTGTGTGAAGAGACGCAGGGGCAGGGAGGAGCAAAAAAAACAACCTGGAGATGGGGTTGCAAAGAGGGAGAACGGGAGGGAATAAGTACGTAAAGACAAACAGAGAGAGGGAGGAAACGAGTGAGAGACATAGAGATGTGTTGGGAGAGATTGGCGGCGGGGAGAGAGAGGAGGGAAGCGGTGCTTGGGCGGCCCCGGCGACGCAGTGTGCCTGTGTTTGAAATTCCGCTCACAGCCAAAGCAATTTCCTGGCGGTGGCTATGCTGTCAGCTGCTTGGCTGGCTGGCGGTGAAATATGGTGGCTGGGAGTCGGCCGCTAGCAGCCCCCGACAACCTGATGGATGGAGCCCCAGAGGAGAGGAACAGCAGCAGGAGGAGGAAGGTGGGGTGGGGATGGAGGAGGAGGAGGAGGAGGGAGAAACAACAGAAAAACAAAAGAAAAAAAAAAGAGCAAGAAAAGGAGGAGGAGGAGGAGGAGGGGGGAAAAAGAAGCTAAATGCAGCCAACTGAGCAGCGGTGGCGATGGGAGGTAGAAATATATAGCGAGACATGAAGGGAGAGTTAAATTAAGAATGAAAATGAAAGGAGGAGGAGGAGGGAGGGGTGAGGAGAAAGAGAGACGAGGAGGAGGGAGGGAGATGGAGAGAGTAGAGAAAGAGACTCGGGGTCTATTAGGAGGAGAGTGGAAGGAGTTACAACCGAGCAGCCGGGGTCTAGACGAGGGGAAACCAGCCTAATAATCACCTGGGTCTCCCAACCTCTGGGCGGGTGGGAGGGGGAGGAGGGGGAGGAGAGGGAGGTGGCTGCATTGGAGGAGGGTGGACGGGCAGGTGATGGAAAGAGGATGTGGTGGAGAGGTTAACTGGCTGCTCACATGAGGTGCACGACACGTCTACAGACCTTCATTTAAATGTCAGTGTTTAACCGGTTACTCAGCATCATGAGCTGGATGTGACCTTAAATGAGCAGACAACTAAAAAATGACACTCAGGATATGTAATGTTTGGACACTGATGAGATTAAAGCAGAGATCAGCTACACCGACACAACATAAAGCTGCACCGAAGAACAGATCCAACGCTATCTGCTATATTATTGATGTCTCAGTCGAGTGTTTTGACCTCAAGTCAATGTTAACGTTCAGTTTCTGCTGAATAGACCCTTCAAGTGCATTAAAGCTGTTAAAAGCCAGCGTATGAGCTCGATAATTAAATAGGTTTGCAATACATTAAGCAAAAAAAGTGCATTTCTGCATCCAAGCTTTAACTTATGCTAACTCGGTGGATATGAGCCGTGATGTGAAGCTTCGGTCGGACGCTGTCTGAGATGTCGTGTGGAGATGGCAGAGTGGCTCCACAAGCTCCAAAAGATCACAACCTGTTTTCTCTACGTGCATGTCAGATTAGATTAGTTAGATTAGCTGTAGTACCTGGTTGTTCCACCAGGTGGAGCCTCTCACTATAGTAAACTATAGCGACCACAGCAGGCAGTCAGACTACAGGGAGTTCATGTTGGCCATCAAAGAGCATCGTAGGGGTTTAGCTAACGATGGGCACCATGACAAAGACTTCTGGGACGATTAATGACCTCCAGCCAGAGCACATGAGCTTCAGACAGGCGGGATCAGATAGATGCCAGCAGCAGATGAGATGTCTGAGCATCCCATTCATGTCTGTTGACTAAAACAGTAACATCAGCACAGAGCATACATCAGTTTGTATAACCTGATTATTGATTGAGGCAGCTGCTGATTATTGATTAAGGATGATTCCAGCCTCCTGCTACAGACCGTGCTCTCCCTTCATGACACCAACTAGCCTAGCTAGCCACACACTAGCCTAGCTTTTGCAAAAATAAGATAAAATTTCTCTTAATTGGAGGCATGGTGTCAAACAAAAAAACTTTAAATCAGCCCAGTACAACAAGTACTGCACATGGACCAGGTTTCCAGATACTTCTGGCCAGTGTATCATGTAGACAGAGGAGCGTAGGCAGGTATCTGACGTACAG